AATCTGAAACTCGGCACACAAGAAGCAATTGGGATAAAGAGTTCAGAAAATTCCATGGGATGTTCGCAGATACATGTATAAAGAAGACACAAGTAAGGCTATGCCAGAAAAACATTACTTTTGGGATGACCTGATATAAAACATGGCTAGAATAAGCGTCAGTCAGTCGCTCGGTCACGTTGGTCTACATACAGGGTGTGGAAAAAAAAATTTCATATTCCGTAATTCGTCAATGTGATTTTGTGTTGCCGATTTTGATGGCATTTGGAATATAAATAGAGCGACTCAATTAGGGTTTGGATATCATGTTTTAAATAAATCATAAAACTATGAGATTCAAATTTAGTTTAATTTTCATACTTAAAATCGTAGTGTACTTCTTTTCTTTCTGTTTAAAAAATCTCATAACTGACAAAGCAAACAAGCAAACAAACAGAACAAAAACAGTTGCTCAAATGTCAGACACGTAAGCACACACTTTCGTTTACAGACGTTCATTTCAACTGGAAAGGTGCTCAACTTGCCCTTCATTCTGTTGAGCACTAGCCCCAAGTCTGGAACACCACATATCAATGGCTTGGTCAATAAGCCTTTGAGGCAGTGCCTCCAAATCTTCCTTTGTCGCATCATGCAGGGATGGAAGGTCTATTAATTCGAACTCCCTTTTCATCCCGGCCTCAAGGGAAAATGGATATTTTCGACAGCACATTTTGCCGCTTGTCATCAGAAAATAATTACAACTTCTTTCGTTTGAAAACCAGATGCCTGAAATTCGCTGCATGCTCCAATTTATGTCACATCATAAGTTTCACAATTTTAATCAAAATCAGCTGCCTACAAATACATTGACGACTCACCAAAATTGATTGCTTTGGTTTTTTTTGGCCCACCCTGTATAATAGATTAGTTGAGTTCATGAGGAACAACCCTCAGTTTGAAAACTGAAAGAATAATAATGCAAAACTCGTAGGTTCTCGCTATTTGCAGCCGCACCATGGCATTGAATGTGATGCGTGCAGGAATCCTGTTCCTCCATTTTTTTTTCTTTGTCATGAATTCGCAAATCATCTGATTCTCTCTGGCGACGTTCAGTTTCACTGAAGGCGCACTCATACTAACGAATCACATTCTGGTTTTCAAGTCGAGAAATTCTACAATTATTTTGCAGTCATTATGCAGGGACTGTAAGGTGTCTTTTGAAGTGAACGGTAGACGGAGGATGAGACAGGAGATCTGTAAATTGAGACAAAACCATTTTAGACATTGGCAATTTTGGAAAAGAATGCTCTCGCAAATATGTCGCTGCAATTTTTTCGAGAATGATCTCATCCCTTGCGAAGTCCCTCTTCTCATCGCAGCGCAATAGAGGTCGTAATTCAGCGATGCGTTCACCGATTGGTTCATCCTCTGCGTTGCTTCGTTATCGTCACGATGACAAGGGACGATCCGAAACTGCAAGACATGCCATTCCTCTGTTGTCTGGACCTGAATGAGACATTCAGTATATTATTCCTGTGCTGCTCCACTTCTCCGTTGAGGTAGGACGGTAGGACTACCAGCAATTTAGCTGAAATTTTGTACAATGATAACGTTTGGCCCCAAAACCTGATATTACAAATATTTATATTTTGACCAAAGGTTTGCACTGTACATGGCAAGGCCCGCAACATTTTAACCCATCATGTTTGGTCAGGATGACCTCTACATGATTTTATTGAATGATTTCTTAATGATTTGTCATAATAGGTTGATTGATTACTCATTTGTGAGGTCACTTTTTGCTCTTTATTTTGGATTCCTTTGAACTGGGACATAATTATGGTGATAAAAAAGGTCATCTCATCCAGTCGAGTGAGTTATCTTCCAAAAGAAAGGAAAAGGTACACAAAGATGAATTTTACACGTCCCCGTGGAGAAGTCCGTATCATGTGCCCTTTTCCAAGTTCATCACGGAAGAGAACATAGCGGGCCAGACAAAATTTAGTAGCTTGACAAACCTGACAAACCTGGTCTAGGCTGAACCGAAGTTCGTGGAAGTCTTCGACGGTTCTGCTGGTTTTGTAATATTTTTCATAAATATTGGAGGCCTCCATGTAATTTTTTTTAAAAAAGGAAATCAGTCTAAAGTACAACAAACATCTAAAAATTTACAACTCAACTTACATCGAGCACTTATACCTAAATGCTTATTTGATACCTGTATATAATCCAATTTCAATTTCAGAGGCAAGAAGATGGACCTACCAATGTCAATCCGCTTCATGATTCAAGTTGCGCTATGGTGGTCCTTAAGCGTATGCTTCAATGTGGGCGCCAAATTATTCTTCCAAGAACATATCGAGGGATTCTTTTCGTCCGTTCTTCTAACTTGGACGAGTCTCCTTGTCGGCAGCATCGGTGGAGTGGCCTTTTCGAAGCACGAGAAGCCAAGTGGCCATTCGGTAAATGCGGAACAATCCCACAACTCCTTTCGGTTCGTGAGAGAGATGAAATGGACCGCATTCTTCTTTTCGGTGGGCGTACTTGCCACGAATTACAGCATCAGCATGATGTCAGTCGGATTCGTGCAAATCGTAAAGGCAAGTCAGCCTCTATTCACTCTGTTCTGGACATTAACGGGAATCGTCCATTTGCCGAATTCTCATCTAAGCGTAGCTCAAATCGTCTGCGTTATTGTGGTTGTCACTGGAGTGGTTATTTCCTCCTACGCCGAAATCAGCTTTTCCTGGTCTGGTCTTTTCTGGGGAGTTTTAAGCAACCTTTCACTAAGCGCCTATGTTATTCTTTTCAAAAGGAACCTCTCCCAGACAGACAACAAGGAGAAACTTTTATGCCAGATGTCACTCTTGGGATTCCTCATGCTTTCCCCTGTATTGATTGCTTCCGGAGGCAGAAATCTTTTCGCGATGTATGCTGGTAAATATTCAATGGTCAATGTGTTCTATCTCTCTCTTGTTCATTTTCTTTTTAATTTCTTTTCGTTAAGCGTTTTGGAAGATACTACCCCTATCACTCATGCAATAACAAATGCATGCAAGAGAATTGCTATTATTGTTGCTGCCTCCTTAATTTTAAGAAGTCCAATGTCCAGTTTGGGCGTTTTCGGAAGTCTTCTAGTTGTTTTTGGTGCCACAACCTACAATATATTGAGTGACATGAACACCATGAAGAATTTCGCTACTGTTTGCAAAACGTTTTCCTCGTACATGCTTTTGGGAGCTCTCTCCGTTGTCCTACTCCTTCAACAAACTGTGGGAATTCCATATTTTCCACCCACAGAACGATCATTTTTGGGAAACGCTTCAGCACCTTATAATAAATACGAACCGACTGGGATGAGAGATGGTTGCAACATTCCAGATGCGTGGAACAATGCAAGGGCTATCTCCCAGCTTCAAGACGTTATTGTTCGATCCATCCGACCGTATTTCACAAATGTCAAAGCGGTAGCACACATCGACCATCCGGATCACAACAACAGAGGAGATTCAGCCATTTGGATGGGGGAAGAAATTTTTTTGGACATGTTGAATGTATCGATTGTGTATAAGTGCACCCTTCGCCATACGCCCATGAAAAGTGATACCTGCAATTCTTCCAGAGCCCGCGAAGCCCTGCAACCATTTGGATGGGGGAAGAAATTTTTTTGGACATGTTGAATGTATCGATTGTGTATAAGTGCACCCTTCGCCATACGCCCATGAAAAGTGATACCTGCAATTCTTCCAGGGCCCGCGAAGCCCTGCAACCATTCGTTAAGGAAGGAACCGGACTTGTTGCGATGCAGGGCGGTGGGAACCTGGGCGATCTGTGGAAGGGACCAGAGAGGCTGCGCCACGAGTTCATAGCAGAATTGCCCAACCTGCCGTTTCTTCTTTTCCCTCAATCCATTTTCTTCGAAAAGGAGGAAAACATCAACGAGTCGAGGAGAGCGTATTCAGGAGCCAGGAATTTCACGCTTCTCACCCGCGAAATGGCAAGTTTGGAATTTGCACGCAGTCGCTTCCCTGCCGTTCGCTCCGCGTTGGTGCCCGACATGGCCCTCCTTCTAGGTCACCGTCCACGTCCCGTGGAACCTACGTGGGACGTCCTCTGGCTCAGGCGTACCGACAAAGAGAGATTGCCCCAATTTGAGCCTCTCCGCGTGGGCTGGCCTCTCAACGTCACGGTGAAGATCGACGATTGGCTGGGCGAAGTCGAAGGACTCCCGGATTCCGATGGAGGGACTCTCACTTCACGTGCGCATCTACGGACTCGCGACGGTTTTCGGTTTCTGGCAAGGGGGAAAGTGATCGTCACGGACCGTCTACACGCTCATATACTCTCTACATTGATGAGTATTCCGCATGTTGTCCTCGATAGCAGCTATGGAAAAGTTAAGAACTTCCACAATCAATGGTTTACAAACATTTGCAGTGCGATTCTTGTTAATACCGCGAAGGAAGCCCAAGAAGTAGCCTTGAAATTGTTGAATCATTTCAATCGGTTCAATCTTTAAAATCGAGTGCGAACGGTTTAATGTAAGCCTTCAATTTAGAAAATATATAAGATCATTCGGGGTGTGATCAGTCCCAGTTTTTGGTACTTAAAGGTGCAATATTCTATAAATGATGTATTAACATAGATGTACTCTGTCTAGCTAAACCATGCTTGCATATCGTGTCAAATTTCACTGGTTCAACTGAGAGATATTTTACTGAATATAAAAGCACCCTTTTTCAAATTTAGTACTTAATTCAACGCATCTCATTCATCTTTCTATGTATGGTCTGTACTGAAGAATAATATTCCATTTGTTGTATCACGGCAAAGTAGGTTCCATGCTCTTTCCAAGTAATTATTTTCTGAGTTACATTCAAGCTAAGCTTTGGCACTGGAACACCGATCACATTTTCCACGTATCACTAAGAATATGGCGTCCTGGTTAGTGTGATCATTCATAATAATATTATTTCTCCTGTTTCCGCGTCTATTTATTTTTCATAATTCACTCAGAAACTTAAAAACTCAACTTGATCCCTGAAGTTGAAGCCACACCTTGCTTGAAGTTCCTTGCCTGACACAGTGAGCATTGGCTAAAAAGTAATGGAATGGTCTCCGACCTATTGTTCAACTCTGATTTTCCCATTTTAAGGAATAGTCATTCGGCTTAAATTCGAATCACAGAAAAGGTAAGATTTCGATTTTCATGGGAGAAGGAAAATCGCAGAAATTATAATAGTTTTAATATTACATCAAAATTATTGCCCTGCTGTTGCTGAATTTCCCGGAATGCACTCTTTAGGTTTCAGGAATTAACCTGAAGCAGGAGTAAGGTAATCACCACTTCATCGATATAAAACAATTTCAATAAGACGGACCAAGAATATCTGCTGATGAGTTTAAAAGATTAAAGATGGAAAAAGGTGATGAACAGAAGTAAGATCGGAAGGGTTCCGACCAACGAGATTCAATCCCATCCTTGTAGATTTTCTTATGGTAAGACGAGACACTTATAAATGCAACATTTTCCAGGAATGGTGACATGCCCATTATATTGGCATTAGACACCATCTAAAGATGTAATACCCTTAAGATGAAAACTGTAATTTCTCTCTGAAAGGATGCAACTTTTTATATGCAATTCTTTTATGCAACACCATATATCTTTGCTTCAGCCAAACGGAGAGACATAGAAAGCTGAAACCTGGCATAGACGTGCCTATTCTGCCACTTCTGAGGGAAGTTTAAATTGTCTGTCTCTTCAGAACAGTCTCTGTCTCTGTTCAGAACAGTCTCTCAACTTCCTGGAATGAAACATTGAACTACAGTGCTGCACTCTTTACTCAATTATGGAAAGTCTTGAAATGGTTGGCAGCACGGTTTACAAACAGGTGCGCGTTTGTTTACGCGTTTACACGTTTTCGTAATTGAAAATACAGTCCTGTATACATTTTTGAAAGTCATTTTCTAAGATTTATGAAAATGTTTTGTGTTCTTCAATGAAAATCAAGAGATGACATTGCTATTGCTACTGTTCTATGGTGGAGTTCAAAACAGAATCCTTTAGACAATAAACCTGCACGATTTGGAGCATTTGAGGGAAATTTTTCAAATCACTATATTCTGATTCCTCGAAATTTGCGCGGGGTTCCCCTGGTAATTATTATATTCGTTTTGGAAGTGCAACAGGTTCTGCTCTCTGTGTTCACGGTGAACCACCGTAGCCAGCCGCATTGAGCGCGACCAAGGCTGGCCGGCCACCGCTCCCTCGTCAGAAGGGAGTGGAAATTAATGCCGTGTGGGTGTCTCGTTATTGAGATGCGCTTGGAGAAGTACCACCAAGTAATATTCGGGATTATTGATCTCATTCGCTTCTTTGAGCGGCTCTCACATCGTGAGCACTGCAACGCCAACACCATGCACAGCTGCATATAAATGTGGAACAAGTGCAGAAAGGCGCAATCTCGGTTGTTTGAGTTGTTCTTTTTTCCTCAGAATAATTCGATGAATGTTGGGTTTACCTTATCAGGAGTTGGAGTCTTTGCCTTCTATATCACCTCTAATGTATTGCATCGTTTACATGCACTTACATACACATACATAGGAGACTGCATGGAACCATATGATCATATTTGGCATAGTTAAGCATTATATGGCACCGTAAAGAGGATATAATGTACGCCAGAAACGTTGATTTTGAAAGGCATCGAACAAGTACCATCTCGCTTTCGTATTGAAAACTTACAATACCATACTTTCCAACAGATAATGCAGGAAAACCCAGGAAAGCATCCGGTGTCGGTTTAAACTCGTTTCCCTAAAGTGAACACAATGTGCCAGCACTTCCGTGACAGTCAGTGTATTACATCGCCGGCCTCCTATGACAGTGCCCTGACTCGCAATATACGAAATCCCCTAGCTCAATGAATGCACCAGAAAACAATGAAAAACCTGGCAACAAATGAAACAGATTCTTAAAAATATTGAGCTTCTTAAAATGTGTCTCCATCTCTAGGGACGAGTAACCAAAAATCTATTTTCTACTGAGTGATAGATACTCGATTGCTAACTCACGACTGTGCTAACAGAAATTGAGGGAACACGTCATCGCCCTACGAACGCTTGACCATGACCGAACTGCTTAATTAATTCCTCATCACGAATGGATGATCAAATTGCAGAGGCAAAGAAGTGGTTTATTCTCGACTCTCTCTTCCCTTGTTCATTTAGAAAGGAGGTAAAGAATGATTTAAAGATTGCAATACTGTATACCTGGGAATCAGAAAGGGGACAATTCAGTCATTTTTTCAGCAGGGCAGTGCTAGGTGAATAAAGAAGAAATAAATATTGATAGGATTTCAGGATCGTCACTTATCCTCTATGCTCAATTTTTGAACGAGAGTTGGCTTACACATTGAGCATGCTCGAACGAGAGCTTCTTACGTGGGAGTGCCAGTCAGTTTTTCCGGACACCCCCATGAAAATGCAAATGAACATTACTTCGGGGAAGTACTCTCACGGATATAAGTTTTATCAGTGATGATCTCTCACGCGAGTCTACTCGCCCCAGCGAATACACGCTTACGCAATACTTGAATGGGAAATGAGGATCTGAAGGTGAGAGGTCTTTACTCTTTCGTATCTTCCATCTGATAGAAAACCCTCCAGCCAAGGTGCCCTCCTACGCCTCCTCCTATTCCGGATTCCATGATGATCGAGTCAGTCGCTTTTCTCTTCCTTGCACGCAGTCGCTTCCCTGCCGTTCGCTCCGCGTTGGTGCCCGACATGGCCCTCCTTCTAGGTCACCGTCCACGTCCCGTGGAACCTACGTGGGACGTCCTCTGGCTCAGGCGTACCGACAAAGAGGGATTGCCCCAATTTGAGCCTCTCCGCGTGGGCTGGCCTCTCAAAGTCACGGTGAAGATCGACGATTGGCTGGGCGAAGTCGAAGGACTCCCAGATTACGATGGAGGGACTCTCACTTCACGTGCGCATCTACGGACTCGCGACGCTTTTCGGTTTCTGGCAAGGGGAAAAGTGATCATCACGGACCGTCTACACGCTCACATACTCTCTACATTGATGAGTATTCCGCATGTTGTCCTCGATAACAGCTATGGAAAAGTTAAGAACTTCCACAATCAATGGTTTAAAAACATTTGCAGTGCGATTCTTGTTAATACCGCGAAGGAAGCCCAAGAAGTAGCCTTGAAATTGTTGAATCATTTCAATCGGTTCAATCTTTAAAATCGAGCACGAACGGTTTAATGTAAGCCTTGAATTTAGAAAATATATAAGGTCATTCGGGGTGTGATCAGTCCTAGTTGTTGGTACTTAAAGGTGCAATATTCTATCAATGATGTTTTAACCTAGATGTACTCTGTCTAGCTAAACCATGCTTGCATATCACGTCAAATTTCACTGGATCAACTGAGAGATATTTTACTGAATATAAAAGCACCCTCTTTCAAATTTAGTACTGAATTCGACGCAACTCATTCAGCTTTCTATGTATGGTCTGTACTGAAGAATAATATTCAATTTGTTGTATCACAGCAAAGTAGGTTCCATGCTCTTTCCGAGTAATTATTTTCTGAGTTACATTCAAGCGTTGGCACTGGAAGACCGATCACATTTTCCACGTAAAAATAAGGCGTCCTGGTTAGTGTGATCATTCATTTTTAATATTCTTTCTCCTGTCTCCGCGTCTATTTATTTTTCATATTTCGCTTGGAAACTTAAAAACTCAACTTGGTCCCTTAAGTTGAAGCCACACCTTGCTTGAAGCTCCTTCCCTGTCAATGAGCCAATGAGCATTGACTCATTGGCTCAATAGGTCGGAGACCATTCCAGTACGTTTTAGTAATGCAATGGTCTCCGACCTATTGTTCAACATTGATTTTCCCATTTTAAGGAATAGTCATTCGGCTTAAATTTGAAGCACAGAAAAGGTAAGATTTCGATTTTCATGGGAGAAGGAAAATCGCAGAAATTATGGTAATTTTAATATTACATCAAAATCATTGCCTTGCTGTTGCTGAATTTCTTGGAATACACTCTTTAGGTTTCAGGAATAAACCTGAAGCAGGAGTAAGGTAATCACCACTTCATCGTTATAAAACAATTTCAATAAGAGGGACCAATAATATATGTTGATAAGTTTAAAAGATGAAAGATGGAAAAAGGTGATGAACAGAAGTAAGATTGGAAGGGTTGCGATCAACGAGATTTAATCCCATCCTTGTATATTTTCTTATGGTAAGACGAGACACTTATAAATGCAACATTTTCCAGGAATGGTGACATGCCCATTATATTGGCCTTAGACACCATCTAAAGATGTAATACCCTTAAGAAGAAAACTGTAATTTCCCCATCGGAAAAGGATGCAGCGTCTTTTATGCAACACCGTATATCTTTGCTTCAGCCAAACGGAGAGACATAGAAAGCTGAAACCTGGAATAGACGTGCCTATTGAGATACTGAATTCAAGAAAAATATCAAATTTCTGATAGAGCCCCTGTGAAAATATTTTTTAGGGGTGACGTTTTCAAATGATTTTTTTGTCATAGCGAATTGGGCAGAAATAGAAAACTGAAACATCGTTCATGCATAACTGGGGTGATGTTCAATACAAAAAACAGCAACTTTTGTAGTGCATACCCATAGGGCAGAGCTTTTGGCTAGGTCGACTTTTCCAAATATAATTTTGCAACAGCGACAAGAACTCATCGTCTCGGCAGGCACCTCCATACCAGGTTTCAGGTTTCCACATCTCTCCGTTTTACTCAAGCATAAATAATGTTATGGAGGGTGAATGAGTAACGGGATATGAAAGGCAAAAAAAGCCAAGGAATGGCTGGGAATTGAACCCTGACCTCCTAGTTACCAGTCAGATATGCTACTACTACACCACCGATCCCTCTCTGGATGCCATCCTCATCTGTCACAAAATATATTTAAGAAAAACGTTTCCCCCCAGAATTTGTACCCCCAGGCCATGTACCTCCAAAGTCGGATTTTTTCTGAACTCTGCATCACAAAAGGTACATGTGGACCA